CAATAGGCCATTTTTCATATGTAAGCTAACCAATCCAGAGTCCAACCAGAGCAGCAGGCTCTGACACTCCAGGCCAGTACTTTCTGACCATGATCACCGCATGGCCAGATACCAGAAAACATGGGACAGCCCTTACACCCGATGGTCCACTGCAATTCCTTAACTTAGTGCTAAGCCCATTTTCCATTACTCACTCTTTCCTTGTCACAGAGCCCACAGTCAAAGCTTAGTTAGTTTCTACTTTGTATCCATGTAGACCCTGGTCCTTCTGCCTGTGGTACTGCTGGAAGCCTCTGGTTTCTTGTGTCTTCTTTCTAGATAGTTAGTCACATGTCTGCATATCTGCCATATCTAAATGATGCAACCCTGAACAATTGTAAAATATAACTACTCTCCTTATAGATTTGAAGTCAATTCATTTATTATGTTATTATTCAATTTATGCCTATTAAGCACTAAGTATGGCCTAGATATAAATATTACTTGTTTCACTCAGGCATTAGAATCTAAGTTGTTATTAAAATGGCACTTTTTTCTCTTTTATTTTTATGTACTCTCTTTTTAGGGTATCATTTAGTTTACACAGTATGTTAAGACTTTGGAAATTGTAATATACAAATCATAGAAGGTGGAACAAGATGGAGATGAGAGATGACCTCTCTATGAGTAAATAGATTTATCAAATATTTTATTCATATTTTGCTTTTAATTTGTACATGTTGGTATTTAATTTCAGCCCAGAAATGAAGAGCTGTAGATCCCCTGAATTTATTCTATCAAGCTTCAGACTTCAAATGAGATTCCATGTTTAGTAGTATTTTCAAAACATATTTACTTTTTATCCACATTTTTTATTTTTCACATTTGTGATAGAAAAAAATTCTGAAAAATTATAGTGCAAGGGGTCCAGATATCTGATCAAGAAAAGTATGCCATCCTCATAACACTTAAAAATCAAAATATAATATGGTAAAGAAGCAAACACAGAACAAAAGAATATTCATCAACTGCTATTACAAAGACTAATTTCAAATTTTTTATTCAAATTGAGATTTAAACATACTTTGAAATTCCAAGGCAAAGAGTTAATAAAAAGTTTGGAATAAGTGTGTCAGTTTGGTGGTAGATAGAAAGATATGTGTCCTCCCTGCATTTCAAATCTAACTCAAATTGCTTTTTTAATAATTAAGACAATAGGAGAGAATTCTAATGAGGAAAATGCCAGTTGTAAAGTAGCATTTTCAGTTGTTTTACTTTATATTTTGTGGCATTTTATAATAGCAAGCACAACTATTACAATTTTATTAATAGTAACAAAGAACTTGGGTAAACATATGCTACAATTTGAATGTTCTCTTTAAAATATGTGTTGAAATTTAATCACCTTTATGACAGTATTAAGAGGTAGGATGTTTAAGTGGTGACTAGATCATGAGAGGTATCATTGTCATGAATGGATTAAAGCTATTATTACAAAAGTAGATTAGTTATTAAATGGTGAGTTCAGCCTACTTTTCTTCTTCCTCTTTCTTTTACCATATGATTCCTTATGTCACATTAGGATGTAGCAAGAAGTGCCTCACTAGATACTGCCCATTGATCTTGGACTCCATAGCCTCCAGAAATGTGTGCAAAATAAGCTCCTATTGTTTATAATTCACCTGCTATGTGGTATTTTGTTATAGCAACATAAAAAGGACTAAGGCTCCTCACAAAGGAATAGATGATATTAGTAAGCAAGAGGACTTCAGAAATCTTGTAGTGAAATGACAGGCTAGAGTAAAACAAAATTTTGAAGCAATTAATAGGCCACTGTGAAGATAAAGTTCTTTTTGTGATTCTTCAAAAAGCAGAATATTCAGAAATTTAATAAAAATTGAATAACATTAAACCATCTTGCCTAGAATCAAAGTATTATAATAAGTCAAATATAACTCACAATAACCATGCCCAAAGTCTAGTAGATAAAATTAGACTGTTCTTAAAAATCATCTTATTTTGTGCTACAGAATCACTACAATTGTTTGGAGATACTTAGGAAATTCTAATGCTTGGTTATTTATAGAGAGCACAGCGGTGGAAAGGATATTCCGAAGAATCTTTGGAACGTGAAAGTTAACAGGAGGGTACTCATCCTCCAATTACATGAATCACTCTTGTGTGGTAGAATTGGGTTTTTTTTTTAAGGAGCTGTGCATTAAAACTCAGTTGCATACACCATACCAAGGTAAAGATATCCTGGGAAAGGCAATCAGGGCACTTGGCACCACTGTGGTAGGGAGTGTGTATGTACTTGAATTATTGCCAGAAGCATTTTCAGTGAGCCAACACACAATAAAAGGAAAAGCAGCAGCCTTCATGCCACCACTTGATGCCAACAGAAGCAATGCCAAGTCTTGCAGCAGAGGTAAATGTTACTACAATAGTTAAGTAGGAATACAGCTCTGCAATCTTTCTCAAATAAAGAGTGCTCAGAGAGAACTCATTATTTTCTGAGTCCAAATTGAAGGAATGCTGTCTTTGCCCACCCACTTCATTCATCAGACCTCAAACCCATGACTTTCACAAGTATCTTGAAAAGAGCAAGACAACCTATTGTCTTGCCCTGTGTTGGAAAAAAGTACCTATAAAGAGGGAAATCTTGCAGCAATTACACCTTTTGCTGGTCTGTAGCACAAGTGGAGACTGAAACAACCTTAGAAGATTGTCTTAAATGAGTTTGCTTCTGCAGGGCTTTCGATTCTTCCATTTAATACAGCCCATATTAGTTAACCTCCTGTTGCAAATGCCCAGTGTCCATTTTTCTGCACTGTGTTCTGCCTTCTTTCTGGTCATGACTGTCCAAATCCTCCAATAGACATACAGGATTTTTTGGTTACTTCTTGTCTTCTTTGAGATTCTCTGTGGGTTTCGTTGGATACTCCACATTGAGACAATAACAAGGCTTGCCTCACCATATTTTCTTGGGAACTCTTAATTCCTAGTTCTGTCCCTTCACATTATAAAAACATGTCTTCTATAATCAAGATCTAGACTAATTAAGGGAGGGAAAAGTGGGGGAAGGCTTCTTACATTTGGTTATTTTATTGTCTCTCTTTACTTTCCAGTGATCATTCCATATTTGTCACATATGTGTATTTTAAACTCTTACAAGCATATATATTTTTAACATTATTAATGGTGGTTTAAAAAACCAGATCTATAAAGATTATGACATTCCCCCAAACCCTAATTTTTATCACTAAAACTCTAGTCTCATGGAATAGTTTTCCAAGAAAAAAATCCAATATACTACTTTCAGAAAACACAACTGTGACAGTTTTGGGAGGCTTACACTAGAATAATTTAATGAGCAGTATATTGAAATAAAAAATGGAATTTGAATATTTTATAAGAAAAAACAATACTAGCTAGTTTGATCGATCACACAATTTCAAATCACTATTATGTTTGAGACAGATTATTCTTATTAAATTTACTTGGTGCTAAATAAGCATTGAAGAAATGCTTCTAAGCTTCCATTTCTCACTTACGAGTCAGGAGTATATTGATAATGCATGAAACTTTTATATTTTATTTTTTTAAATTGATAGTGTGTCCTACTCTGTGACTTGATAATTGTTTTTGAATTTTGTGCCAAGATAAAACTCACAGGCACCTTATTTTGAAATAGTAACATTAAAGGAAAAAAAAGAACTCAACTGAGAATAAAGTTATAGTGCGTTGTTTACATGGACTTTTGTTGAGAATTTTACTTTCTCTGTATAACTACCACCTCTTGAAAAATACTAGGAGAATTCTAGAGGCTTGCAATTGTTTGAAGGAAAGATAAACTGGTTACTAGAGTCAACGTCAATACTGAAGTCTGCGTTGAATACAATATTCTTCCTCATGACATTTAACAGAAATTGAGAGACATGAATCCCAGCACCAACCGTCCAAAAAGATCTCATGGGAAAACTATTCAACATCAAACTACAGAGAATTTTGCTGCTTCTCAAAAAGCTGCTGCCTGTGGTAACATAACTTTGCCTGCTCCAGTCCTCCCAGCATTAAGTAGGTTGCTGCATCAACCTGTACTCTAAATCCAGAAGTTTTGACAGGCGCCAAGACATCAGCCAAGTCTAGCAATCATAGGGCAGAGATAATGTGCAATATCCCTGTCAGGCCCATGTTATTTACTGGTTTGAAAATTGATCTTCAGTTAACACAATAATAATGAAGGATTGGCTGTAATTAGTGTGTAATAACTTTAGAGATAATAATATGTGGCAGTTTAGGAAAAAAATTCCTGGCATTATCATAAGACATTTATCAATACCTATGCTACTGGAGAAATGATTGAGTTAGAGAAATTGATCTTTTAACATATTAAGCTAAATGAGCCAACACATATCATCATAGACATTATAAAAATAGAACAAGACCTGCCAGAGTAAATAATATGTACTGATTTCAGAGCAATAAGAATATAGCCAAGAAAATGCCATATCCGATATTTCTGCGGCCTATTATTTTAGCAAAGCACAAGCGCAGGTGACCCACTGCCAGCAATTGCCTCTTTGTCTGTAGATGGTATCACCTATCTGAAAGAGTAATCAAGTGAGAATGCTGAGATTCCATGCCACTTGCCTTACCTTTGTTTTTCAATGATTGTAAGGAAAACGTTTCAGCATATGATCCAATGTAAAAAATAGAGTGAATTATTTTTAGTACATGTTTGACACAAGCCACTGTAGAATGCAGAAATAGGATGCCTTTGGTCAGTAACTCAAGAAGATTCACACTGCTTATTAGATCAAGTCCAAGTCCTTGTCTCTGCATCTCTATCTCAGTTCTCTCACAGTTAATATCCAGTGTCAACTTGATTGCCTTGAGAACCACCCAGGAGATTAGGAAAGAGGACTTCTGGGTGTGTCTGGGTGGGTCAAGGGCTGGCGGTCCTGGGAATTCTGTCTGGTCACTTTCTCCTTCCTCTCTGGCTCTTCTCTGTTTCCCAGGTGCCATAAGTTGGCCAGATGTACCCCGCTACACCATTGCACCATGATGTTTTTGACTTGAGGACGCCCAACCATGGACTAAAGACTCTGAAACTGTGAGCTAAATAAATGCCTGTTCTTTTACATTGTCATGTATTTTTGTCCCAGCAATTTTGAGCCACTTTTTTCTTGTGATTCATGGCCCTTTTGAAACTATATGCTTTTATAAACTACACCTTTCATCTCACTATCCTCTTTGGAGCCTCAGCAAGGCTCTGAAAACTTTAATCACCCTTTAATTTCCTCATCTTATAATGATCATTTTGATTTTACCATTGATTGTATTTTTTCTGACATAATTATTTTATTTCTCAATTTAACAGAATTTCTCATGCTACTACTCATTGTTCTTTGTCTTTACATATTCTTAACCTTGTCTCAGGTATCTTCCAAAAAGATATTGATAAAAAATTTATTTCCTATTTGATAATCTGAACTTTTGTATATGGTTCTGTGTAGACATGGAAGACAATTTCATCATAGAAAAATAAAGTAATACTTTTTAAAGAGGAGATGTTTCCACATTTTAAGAACTTTTCCGTGTTATAAGTTTTCTTGGTATAAAACATTTCAATAAAACCATACAAGTAAGTTATAATGATAAAGGATTTTTATTTTGCAGCAGAAATATATTTCTTTTATTATGAATGTATGTTTTGAAACCTCATTTTATGTAAGGATATGAGGAGAAAAGAAATGTACAACCGAGTCTCTCCCCATGTCAAATAATGACAGTGCTGCCCACTCTGAAATAAGATGGCTCGAATTTACATGAACATGCTAGAAATTTTGGGAATGGATTCCAATATAACATACTTAATTTTACCCTGCCAATGAACTGCTGTATTGTAGGAAAGGTAATTTCTCATGACATCTTACATTCCAATAATGCAAACCATTTGAGAAAGACTTTTAGATATTTGGGTTTATTTCATATTAATATGAGAAGGAAGGCAGAGGGATGAAATCTCACTGCTGTCTCCGCAGTAATTGGGATGTGTGAACTGTCACTATGAATATGGAGTTTGATGAAAATCTGTTAACTTTCACTTTAGTCCTTACAAAATTTTTATTTTCTATGAATCTTCTGTTTGATCTCTTAACTCCCCCTTTTCACAAAGATGGAATCTTCAACCCACACTGTCCAAGGAAAGATGCCTCAGTGTCTTTACTGTATTGATTCATTCAGGGATGCATGGATAGAACAAGCAAAGTCAACGGGACCTACTTTATAGAGTGGATATGCATTTGGGAAAAAAGGGAGCACTCTGCTCTTATAATTTGTGGCACAGAACCTGCAAGCCTTGTGATGCCAGGGACATTCTTTATATCTACTTTAGATAGCTTGCCTGAGAATTACAGGGAATAACAGAAATATAGTCAACAGCAGATGATTATATTATAGACAGCTAAGTTACATAGAAATATTACAGGGAGTCAGATAGGGCTAGGTTCTCCAGAGAGTCAGGACAAAAGTAAAAATACATCACAGCTGTGGCTGGAGACAAATCTGTTGGAGACCAGGCCTCAAGATAAAGACAAGATTACCAGGCCTATATACTTCCTCAAAGGACAAACACCAAGCCTAATAAAGTCTAGATAGACATCAGTCACCTCAGTGCGTGACCAGGACCTTTGGACCCATCATTTCCTAGAAGAAGTCTTTGTTCTTTCCATCCAGTCTTGTTACACAACTTGTTTCCCAATTGTCACTATTACCTAACCAAGTATACTTGTAACCTTATTGGTTAATCATAGTTGTAACTCACATTGTATTCACATGAGTTTTGCTTTATAAAACTCTGCTATAAAGTGGGATCCCCAGCTACCCATTTGGGAACCCTCCTGCCTCTCAGGAGCTATTCTATCAATAAATATTTTCCTACTCTTAACCTCTGTTGTTCCTAGAATTCATTCTTTGATTTTTTAGAGAACATGAAAGAACAGACATCTAACAAGTTGGGAAATATAATATTTTCATATTTCATCTCCTATATCATAGTCTGTGTTTATGTCTATGTCATCTCCTGTATCATAAGTGACTAAATGTATTTTTGTGTGTTTTTTATGAGTAGAAATGTAGTTTCAATAAAATGGATATATTAATTTAAAAGGTTGTTTTGAGTAATTATATTCTCATGGAGAAATATTGTCTCTCAGTTTGTAAGATACAAATTGCACAGTAAATATCTAATCCTTAGCAAGTACTTCAGTTAATGAATACAAAGGAAAAACTAATTTTGTTATTGTCTCAGAATATAAAAGTCCCTGGTGAAAAAAGTCCACAGACCCCATTTTGAGTACAATTAGAGGAATGTGGACTTGGTATAAATGGAGGAATGTAAGCTCAAACCGTCATCAGCAGATGGTATGAACAATTCTCTAAAAGTCACCAAGGGGGTTGTGCATTGCCGGTGTTGGCAATTTGGGACAGATATATCTGGGTCACTATGGCTGGTGAGGAATAACCATGTTAATTTTGTGTGATCAAGAAGTGATGTTTTATGCATTTGATACCTTGGTGTGCTTTGTACCTTTTCAAAAAACATATTTCTGTATTTTAGTTGCATATTACAAAATTGATAAAAATCAGCATGTAAGTAAATGGAAATTATTTTCCTTTTAAAATAATGGGAAATAACCTCCCTATTCACACTGTAATGCAGAAAGGTATATTTTATTAGCTAATAAGCTAAAATTAAATATTATTTGTTATTAACTATGTCATTGGTAATTATTAAATAATATGTAAATAGCATATATTAAATGATTAAAATATATTTTAGGAATTTGAACAGATACAGTAAGTTATTTGTTACATCTGAGGTAAAATATTAATAACCGTATTAAAAGCCTTCTGAAAGAATTATAGTTTGAAGGAAAGAAAATAGAATTACAATGCTCACTTATTATACCATGTATCTATATTTTTTTGAAATTTTCATGACACTGAAAATAATGACCTTATGGATATATTATGAACTTTTGATGTTTGTCTTTTTCAAAGCTTTACTAGGGTATGATTGACAAAAATTGAATATATTTATGTATATAATGTGATGTTCCAATATATGTACACATTGTAAAATTCTTACATAGTCAAGTTAACATATCAAGCACCTCACCGAATTACCACTTTTTGTGTGTCTGGTAAGAATACTTTGAAATCTATTCTCTCAGCAAATTTCAAGAGCGCAGTATATTATTATTAAGTTCACTCACCATGTTTGTTATCACTATGTTTTAGATCTATAAATATATCAATATGTAAATATATTTCTGTATGTCAGTGTATAGGTTTAAATTAAATTATTTATTTAGAAGTTAGTAAGTAAAGCCTATGCATAACAGAAAAAAAAGGAATAAAAGTGGTAGGTCAGAGAGCAATGAAAATTGTTCTCTGTTCTGCAGTTTGGGTTTTTGTGAGGTAGTGAAATTTCCTCATTTCTCTGCAGTCTTCCCAGGTGGCAGAACTGCCAGCTTTCCTGGAGAGTGTACTCTTACATATTAAAAAGCATCAGTTATCCTCCCTTTCATAATGCCCTTGAGTACTTCTTGGCTGAAAAAAACTTGCTAAAATAATGAGTGTTTCTCACTCCTGGAGAAGCTAAACTGCTAATGGTACTTATGTTACTTTCTGCTCAGGTTGTTAAAAAAATTTGTTCTCTGCTCAATAACACAGGAGAGGCTGTGGCCATTCCTCACTCTTTGACTACCTTCTTACACTACTTTAACCACAGAGGAATCTTCCTTGGCAACTCTTTTATATATTGGCTTTCACTAATTAAATCAAACACAAATTAAAATGAGAGGACAAAGAAAGAAAAAAGAAACTTAAGAAAGACAATGTTTTCCTAATGTACATGTTTTCTTAGAAAAAACGTATCATGTGCATTTTTGAAAATTTTATTTTCAAGTCTAATGTCTAAAAGAAGTCTCAAAATTATACTAAGCCAAAACTGGGCTGTATTTTCTTGGGGTTGCAGTCTTTAAAGAAATTAAGGTATAAAACTGTGTATGTATTTTAATGACAGTGAGAATGGTAGAAAGTTTGTTCTGTAAGGTGTGATCATGAAAGGCTGCAGCCTAAAATATTCCTACATGAAAAATAAGCAAGTAATCCCAGCTATGAATTCCAATAGAATATGAAATATGAAAATAAAGAAATGTCTTATCTATGAACAGATTATTAATACAATTAAGATATTTTTCATATATTGCAATGAAGGCATTACAATCTCAACATATTGTTTGTTAAAATAACCCCATCTGTATGTTTTCTTTCTTCAGTGCTTAAAGTTGTCAGATCTGCTGTTTTCTTCTTGTGTCAAATGCTGGACTGAAGACTTAGAAGACTTAGAAACTTCAGAATCCTGTGTATAAAAAGAATTTCAAAATGTAACACATGGAAAGTAAAAACTTCTTATGTCAAAACATCTTCAAGGATGTTTAATATTTCCAAATTTAACTTGGTATATTCTTCTTTTAATTTATACTTTGTTGATTTATATTAGGTAGGTATCTTCTCAGTAACAGAATTGGGGACCACTAATAAAGCCACAGAAAGTAAAATAACACGGGGAAATTATCATTTAGAAATTGTTCTAAAAATAAATCATAGATAAGAATAATTTCTTTTTTAAATAATTAAGAAAACATGTATTTGTATAATGTTATTGGGTAAAACACAGGAAGATTTACTGCCTTGTTTACTTGTAAAATCTGATACATTGTCCTCTAAGAAAAAAGTTAGAACTTCATCACAACCTTAAACTCATCTATGGATTTGCATTAATAGTTATTTCTTTATACAGTTGCTCATTGAGGAGAACAGACACTTATTTAAATTAGATCTAGAGAACTGAATCACAAGCCATAGACAGGAATGGAGAATCTGTGAACAACAAATTTACAGAAACCATTTCAAGATTATCAGTGACCTAGATATTCATAGTTCTCAAATCCACTAAACTTTGAGGCAATTGAATAAAATTCCTTTTATCTAACAGCTGCACAGTGAGTTACTATGGTAATTGAGACAGTCTGATTAAGGCTGTATCAGAGCCTATTTTAAAACCACACTGAGAGTAATTTAGTGTGGTTTAGAAGGCATTCTATATTTTCTAATGACCTCAGGACATATAAATGTAAGTATGAATGACATGTAACAAAATAGACATGAAGAAGCATAAGATAAGATTCACAATGAATTTACCCAGAAAATTCATTCACTAACTTAATTCAACCGATTTTCTGAAAATCATAGGATAGAATCTAATCTGCATGATAATTTTCCTGCATATACATGTGCTACTTGAGAAGTTCTCTGAATTTGAATTTTAGATATGCCTTTTAAATGGAATAAGCTATTTTGTAGAATAATATTAATTGTTAATATAAATTTGGACCAAAGCCTATCTAGTCATTTATAAGTATGAATATAATTATACATATGAAGGAATATACTTAGTTATATATGTATAATTTGCTGAGTTTTACCACATGCAAGTCATTGAATAAGTGCTTTGTATATAAGACATATTTGATTCTCAAAACCATAACTTTGATAAAATTTTATAAAGAATTTAAGACTTAGAGTGGCTGAATTTTTCAGAATTACACGCCATATAAATGAGAAAGACAAACATCAAATTTAATTTTACCTGATTCAGAATGAGCTTCTAATTCATGTGGCATTCTTCCTCTTTTTTGAACTATGCGAAATTGTACTCATAATTTTTTTGTGATTTATTTACTAAAAACAAAAGAGTACTAGCAGTTTCACACCTCAGATTTTAGCATAGTAAAGCATTAAGACAGACAGATGTGGATATCTGCACATCTGTTCCATGAGTTGAAAGTTATCAATCTGAACAATAATGTTATCAGATTGATGACTTCTGTGGCATGGTTGCTACAATTAATTGGTGGTAATCCAATTTTAACCAAAGTTTCAGCCAATGACTCTATTTTTATCACTCATTATCACAGTATACTTTCTTTTCTTTCATAAGTATCTTAGGTAACTTTGATTACTCTATTCCAAAGAATAGAGAGTATAAGAGATCATCTTTTGCTATCTCTAAATTCATTAACATCTTCAGGGAAGAAGAGATAAGATTCAAAATTAAATAGTTTTATTATATCAAGAAATGATTAAGCATCTTTAGTAAGATTATAAATCTGTGGAAACAAAACTGGACATTCAATGTCCTTTGCGTATCTATAAGTATTATATTCTAATAATGCTTTATTCAAATATTAAAGTGAGCATTGTTCTCGGCTCATGATTGTAATAAAATAGCCAGCAAAGCACTTACTTTAGTGACATTTTTTATTTTATAATGTTAACTGATATTAGTCAACATTTAGGTAGGAACAAAAAGAAAATGAACAATAGTTTAAGTGATATAAAATTTCATTCATTTTTAGAATTTAAAATGATGGTTTTACTCATACTGGTTTTTGTTCGTTAAGCACATGATAGCTTGTTGTAGAATAACGGAAACTGTGACGAGGGAGAACCACTGTAAAACCACTGCAAAGCCTGACAGTCAAAGGCCCCTTTACAGCAAGGCATCCCTAGTTCACAGGTGATGTTAATGCTTTTTAAAGGTCCTTGGCTTGGAGTTTTCTGTGATAAATTAAATTATAGGTTACTTACGTTTCAGTACCAGATGGCATCTTCTCTTTTGGTTTCACTCTTGATATATGATAAAATCGTCAAAGATAAATGTCCGCATGTGGCAGAGTCCAAGGTAAAGCAATCTTTGTCACCACACAAAAACTTAATTTCTTTGTTAAGGAAAACATTTTCTTTTCTTTTGACTTACAAAGGCATAGTGAAAAATTCAAAAAGCATATTACATATTACAACTTCATTTTAACAGAATAGTGGATTGTAGTCCAACTGCTCATAAAGGAAACTAGAAGACCGAACTGCAGGTTCAAACTTACTTTTACAATGGTGTACCTTGTATTTTCCCAGCATTTTCTTCCTCAGGGTTTCAAAACACTTTCCTGTGTTAAGGTGAAAATTGTTATGCTTCAGACTGCATAAGCTCAATCAAAACTAATTATTTCTACTTTAAAATAAGAAAATCTCTGTTTGGTAGTACTTCAATGAATATTTCAATTGTATTTTTGTTTACAACCTTACTTCTAGGTTGCCTTTAAGCTGAATGATTCAATTTAAAATTCCAGTAAAAATACACTTTTAATTTTTTGGTAACCTCACCTAATTCACTGAATACCTCCAGCTTCTCTCTCTCATTATATTTCATTAATAATTTTGAATTTACCTGGCAGAAATTAATTATCTAATATCCTGGTCTCTCAGTCGATCTCACTTTGATTATTGTTCCCTTTCCTTCATCTCAGCTAATCCACTCCACTGGTACCATGTAGATTTATGAGACTATTTTTAAATTTTTGGAGATTTCCTTTACAACCACAACTTCCTAGCTTGCATATCACTTGCTCAAGATCTCTTTTTCGCACTGCGAAGCATATTTAGTTTCATTGGAAATTTCACTCCTTTGTGACTGTTGATTTTCACCTGTTGATTTGACTGGGTTGAGAAATATAGAGGGGTTTAGTAGAGCACATTGCTGGGTGTCTGTGTGGGTCGTGAAGACTTCACCTTGGGTTCTGCATGTGGTCCCTGCCTCTTCCTTCTGTGGCAGTCTTTCTCGGCTCTGCGTCCTGACCACCATGAATTAAGCAGCTTTGCTCCATCACACACTTCTTCATTTAAATTATGGGTGTCAGGTATTTTGTACAGCGATGGAAATGCTGACTAATACACATTGCCCTTTCAGTATTTTCAGGATGACTCAGGTATGGCCTGACCTCATTTTATTCTTTGTCTAACCTTGATTTCAACCGCAACATTGTAATCACTGTTTCAAATGTTTTCAATCAGTATAGCATATTATCTTACTATTATGATCACAATAGTTATTACTGTTAATTTCTCACAACTTCTCTATCAATTTAATTAAATCCACTATCAAACTTTAACTCCACTGTAATAGTCATGAAAGTTAACAGGGAGGAAAACTAAGTCTATCTTCAACTTCCATGACTTCTTAGTTGGGACAGACCCCGTAACAGAAAAGGTAGATTAACAGGAGAAAAACAATAATATATGTTTAGCATATGTTACACATCACATAGGACAAAATCTCTATGAAAAGTAATTCCAAAGCAAAGTCTTTGAGCTCTGGCTCATACAGCATTTTTAACAAAGAACAATAAATTTGTGGTGAAATGACAGGAAAAGGGGGGAGGGTTTGGGGTTTCCAAGAGTGGAAAACAGTCATAAATATATTAAAAGAAACTAAAGTGGTGAGATTTTATTTGCAGATTCCTGTAGTGCCCTCTCTGGGCTCATTAAAGTCTGGAGTACACTCCAGTAAAGGAAAATTTATGTCTTGTGGCAGAATGTATGGGGTGGAAGGAGACTTTCCTCCATTTATGGATTCTTTATCACCTTCAACGCAAGAATAATTTTATGTCAAAGAGGCATATTTCAGGGTAATGTATTCTAGTTTCCTTCAATAAGTGTCTTTTCACTTCTGTAACTCTTTAATCCCAACACAGCAACTGAGTGACCTTTAAATACAAATTGTGTTATTTATCTTTCCAGCTTATAAAACTGTCAATGTTTCATTATTCTACTTGAAATAAAATACAAACTCAAGTCTACAGCTCCAATTTCACCCAGAGTCATCTACTTGGAACTAAGTTCTTCACATCACTCAATGATATTCCACTTAAATGGATTGATCTTTTCCCTATGAAAAGATCTTTACCAATTTTTAGTTTTATTAGTACATGCTTGCAGTAGCACATAATGATCACATTCCTCATGGAGAATTGCTACATGTACATTGCACTTCTTCTTTTTCTTTTTCTTCTTCTTCTTTTTTTTTTTTTTTTTTTTGCAGCATTGGGGATCGAACTCAGGACCTTGGGCTTGCGAGGCAGGCATGGTGCCACTGAACTAAATCCTCAGCTCTACATTACACTTCTTAATTCTTTTTTTTCCCCCTCTCCTTCCTTTTCTCTCCCCCTTCCTCTGTCTCTTGGTCCTCTTCCCACTTTCAAAAGGTCTATCTCCCTGCTTCCTATTATCTATTTTTTACTTTGTTCTTTATTTATATTTAATTCTTATGATTGTCCCCTCTATTTTTCAATCTTTCATTGAACATTTCCTCCATGAAGAAACCTCCAAGCACCTACCTCAAGGAAGCACATTCATATTATCCTTTAATTCTATTCCTTTAAAAAATAATACATACAACAAAAACACATAAAACACAAGGAACTGGGTTTGTGCAAATCTTGATCATCATCGTGTCCCCTCTACCTTGCATAGAATAGTGCCTCGGAT